TTTGTTAGAATGCTCTGCTCTACCATTTGTTCCAGGGTACTTTACGATGAAATTGGGTCGCAGTAGTGCGGTTGCTGGCCTATGGAAACTGATAATGGATTTTCAGCCAACAATGCTACCTTTTAGGCCCCCCCAATGGGTTTAAAATTCGGAAAAGTTTGCGACAGGGCCTTGGTAGAGATACTTGTGTGAAGCAGGTCTTCTGTCCTGGACTACGAGGTTGGCTACCCTCGTTACTATAAATAAGTCCCAAAGCCGCTTTTTCTTACTAATGGATGCGAAGCTTGTGTACACGGTAGTACTCCAGTTGAAATCATTTAGGGCACTTTCACAACCCTATCACGATGTTTACATCTCATCATGCAATCCATATCGGTGACTTCGAAGTGTTGGTTCTGATCGGACAAGAATGTATTTCGACCTCTCCTTTTTAGTTAGAAGTGACTAGACCCACAGTTTTGTAAAAGTGGATCTCAGCCTGCTAGTCTAAAGCAGCATTATCGCCTTTCCGGTCTCTAGGTGCACATGATTAAAATGTATCATTGTTACTTTACCTAAATGGATGACGCAAGTTGCGGATACCCATGTTCATGTGCGCTCCGTGAACCTCAGATATCCGTGCATGACATGCGTTACACTGACTCTTTGCCACACGGTGCCCTCTGCGCCCAATCTTGTTCCAGTTAGGCTTGAATTGGACAAGTAAATAATCAACGGGTTAGGGAAGAGAGAGAGAAGGCACGGTCGATGCAACGCTAAATCGATGCCTACTTTTCACCTATAAACAACAGTTGATTTAAAACTCCACGCTACAACTAATGAATTGGAAGGATGCCAACAAATGAGTTAACTTGGTTCCTCTCAGGCTAGAGGGTCAGGTTGCAATGACTTCTTTACTGTGCCCATTTTGGAATCCGTTGCCCACTGTCTGAAATGAGATGAATTTGGGACCGGGTCATACGTTGCGCACGTAGAGTCAGTGCACATCTGCATATCCTGTTGTCTTGCTACCAAATGCGTTTAATATAAAGAGAGAAAATTAGGTACGAACGTGCAACAGTTGTCTCGCTATGAACTAATAAATACGCAAGGGAACGTTACGTCTGCCTCTCAGAATTATCAATATCAGTATGAGTTTATTGAGGGAAAAATAGGCGAAGGCCTTTGAACTCCCTATTGGTAACAAGATGATAGGAAGTATATGGATACAAGGGAAAATTTTAAAAAAAGTATGCGAATTACATGTCCTGGGGAATACACAACAGGTGTCAGGTAGTCGAAATAGTAATAAAACATAGCTACTCGTTAATAACGAGTGGTATAGTGTAATGCAATGTCGTTTTTACACGGTGGTTTCATGATGGGATTTGGATGTATGTTTAGTCTAATCTTGAATTAACACAGGTGGAGAGGACAACTTCTTCGGGGAGGG